CGACTGCTCGTGAATTCTACGAAAATTGATTACTTTACTCGATTTCTGTGAACAGATGCATTCAAAGTACTACAAGCGAGTTTAACAAAAAGTTCAAAATAATTTTAGGATAGACGGTCTAAACTATTCATCATAAATGATGTAAAGAGATTTGAATTTTATTAAATAGGCCCCAACTACCCAGCTTAGACTAAGCATCAAAACGTAAATGTTCTACATAAAGTATTTTGTCATGTGAGTATCTAAATCAGCTAAAAAATTAACGGAATCATTTTTCCCCACAGCAGGGTTTTATCTCTTCAAGCATTTTACATTTTTTCTGCACAAATCGTTAAACAATGAAATGTGCCACTTTTTCAGTAGAAGGCTTTTTCGCTAGTGCCATATACTTAGTTATTGTGAAAAACTTTTTTGTTGTAGTGGCATTTTATTGTGCATTTTCCGGTTGCATTCTACTACATATACACATATAAAATATCAGTGCATTTTTACGCGCCCGTTGTTTATTTATACATTGAAAAATAGACGCGAGCTGAAGTGTGTACTGTTATGCTTGACTGCGCAGAGGCGTTTTTTTGTTGAAATGCTTTTAAGGTACATACATATGTACATAGTTACGTAGCTGTGATGGAAAGGTAGGTTGAACTGTACTTTGTTCAGTTTTTATCAAATTTCAGTTTTAAGTACATTTCAAATGTAGCCAAATTTGTTCTCAAATAAACCTTGCTAATTGTTATTGATGTTTGACAATCAGACACCCCTTAAATTGCTTATAAGGCATTCAACTTAACTTAGAATGCCAAATCTGTTAGTAACAGATCGGACTAAGTTGGCAAGACCCCTTGTCGCTCTTCCTCAGCACTAACATCAATATGTATGTTCGCATTTAGGGACGTGAGAATGTTCACATATCCACAAACATATATGTATATATGAGTGGGTACATATTGTTTTTTTTTGTTAAGACATATTTAAGTATTTTCGTAAACTTTCCTGTTTTTTAGTCCAAAAGTCATCCGTACGAACTCAAACATTCCAAACGGTGTAGTAATTGTTGTTTTATGTATGTATATCTTCTTCAGCCATCACTATTTGATGATATTTATGTTAGCTGTTGATAATATTCGCGCTGTTGTGAAAGATAATGGTGTTGCTTGTTGAAGATAAGGCTGGTGCAGATAAGAGCTATCGGCTGTATTAAATTCTTCTCAAAGTAAGCAATATTATGCTTTTGTTGTAATAATTTGTTATTAAATAAGTTATATGCTGCATATGCTACACGTCCAAAGCAGATACATAGTTTGTTTATTCAATATAGTATAACTCTGTGATAAATATGTAGCTTAGCTGATCTTCTAGTAATGGGATATTTATTTCATTAAAATTGCTGTTTTTTCTAGATTTGAGCTTCTTCAGGTCTTAATATGCAGAATCGCCATATTTTCTTTATTGTTTGATCAAGTTGAAAGTGTTTTTATTAATAATCAAAAATTTTCTTTTTCAATAACAAACAAATTCATAGAACAATAAATTTAATCTCAAGAATTTAAACAAGTGTAAATACATACAGTTTAATTACCCTACAACCAGAAAACATAAATCGAGGAAAATTAACATCAAAACTCTTTTTAAACACTTTTGAAAGTTGAGCGCATCTTGTAGAAATTTTTATTAAACAAGTAATTGTCATATATATATATAGGAGTACCGTTATTTTTTCATAAGCAAATGATCAGATCTAAACCAAATTACGGGACGACCCTGGAGGTACCATCTCTCCAATAAGAAAAAAGAATTATTGAAATCGGTTCACGTGGTCCAAAATGATGCGGTAGCATATATAAAAGAAAATATTCCGACGAATTGATGAATGAAGTCGGTTAAAAGTGTTTGAGTTCCTTGTTAATTTTATGTAAAAAAGTGCAATTTATCAAACTTTAAAAAGTTTATTTATTGATTACATACTGTACATAAAACTTGCATTAATGAATTTTTGAAAGCATATTATCTGAAGCGAATTTTCAGTATTTTCTGGTAGTAGAAGTATAAATCCCCCCCAAAAATATATTCCTGGGTGCGCCCCTGATCTAAACTAATGACTTGATGAATTGGTAGGAGAAAAAAACCATGCAATAGAATTTCATTGATACGTAAGAATTTCCTTTTCATGTTGACACAAAAAAAAATCAACATTAATGTAAAAAGTAAATTGTCAATATACTCATATCTGACTTTTTTTCAAGCCTCTTCATTCAATATTTGCTTCATTTTTTCACTTTTTTCCTTTCACTTTGCTTTACATTCTTCACAATGAGAATACAAATATGTGGTACTTTTTTCCCCTTTTTCTGCTTTCTAAGCTTTTTTTGTGCTGCAGCATTTTTTCGCATTTGAAAACTATGCGTGGCAGGATATGCTCCCAAGGGCATCCCTTTATTCCTCTTAGTGCAATGCTTTTCATACTTTTAGTACTCTGCATACTTACCTTCGTACGAATACATATATGTATGTATATACTTAGTACATATTCTGCTTTCTTTAGCTTTGTTTTATTATGCTATTTCTATTGTAAATGTTTTGTTTAAATTGTTTTCAATTCGAGTTTGATTTGAGTTGTTTTCCATTTTTGTGTTTATTTTTCCTCTTGATTATTGTTATTTCCATCATTTGTTGTTATTGTTGTTGTTGCCTATTATGTTGCTTTATGTTGCTATCTGCTTTAATGTAAGGACATACATGAGTGTTATCCGACGAAGCGTATTATTTACGCTACGAATGCAACGGAATTTTCTCCATAAGCCGCCAGTGACATATTTAAACAAATATGTACACATGTATATACATTAGGGTGGTCTAAAAATGCTTGCGGAAAAGATAAAGTTGGAATTTTAATGCTCTCATCCCCTAGGATAGTTCTATACCGAAAAAAATACCCCTATTTTTTATTTTATAACCAAAAAATATTTAGAAGTCGCTCAAAGCGCTCAAAGTTTCCATGTATTTTTTATATGGGAAAATAACAACTTTTCGTTGGGAAAGGGTAGAATTCTTGAAAATCAATATTATGCGATCGGAAAACTCTGGTTCTCTTCAGGAGATTCCCAACAATAACACCCAATTGTTTATTTGACCATTTTTTCATCGCAACTATAATTTATAGGTCCGCCAAAAACCCACAAAACCCCCGAAAAATGCAATGGGGGACCAATAAAAAATCGTTAGTATTAAAAAATTATTAAATTAAAAACAGGGTATTTATTATTGAGAGTCTCTTGAAGGGAACCAGAGTTTTCCGATCGAAAAATATTGATTTTCAAGAATTCTACCCTTTACCAACGAAAAGTCGTTATTTTCCCATATATAAATACACTAGCTCTTACCCGGTGCGCTTCGCTACACCTAAATCGATTAAAACTCTTAAGGGTTTTTACTTTGTGTTTTATTTCTTGTTGTAAAACTTTTACTTATTTATATAACATTTTGGTATACAACATTTTTGGTTTGTGGGAAAGTCTTGTGCCATTACACAAAGTCGGTGGCTTCAGATTTCGTAGAAGTATAATAGGTGAACCGACTTTCAGGACCAAACGATGCGGTGGCAGACCGGGGGGATCCAAAGAATTCAAGAATTCAGTTGGATAATTGACTACTTCATCTTGATTCAAAACGCTATCAATCGATGTATATGTTGTAGCTTCTCCTGGCAGTTTTTCTTGAATGGCAAAATTGATTTCGTTGACGTGTACATTTTTCGATGCCAATATTGCGCGTTCACTTAAGTAATCATTGCGTTGATAGTGCTGAACAATATTCGGAAATACACTTTCAATCAATTCTTCTTTCGATTGTAAAAGTGTACAAAAGTTGTTCTGCAATGTGATCAAACCGGTATCATCGATTGGTATTTTGCCTTTGCCAATGTCCAACAACTGCTTCGAAAACGCCGCTGCGGATCGATCATTTTGCAATTGGACTCGCATGTTGATGGTAAGAGTCAGCCTTTGAACATGTCTCCACAAAACTGACGATTTTAAACATGCGTTTATTTCGTCTGCAGGAGTTGATCGAGGAATGACTGGCAAAGTTTGCCTGAAATCGCCGGATAATAATACTAATGCCCCGCCAAAAAGTTGTTGATTTTGGCGTAAATCTTGCATTGTTCTATTGAATGCTTCTAATGACTTTTTGTTAGCCATTGGGCACTCATCCCATAGAACTATTGCAGCTTCTCGCAAAACTTTTGCCATTGCTGAATTCCTCGATATGTTGCACGTTGGTGTTTCAACGACTTGGATGTTCAACGGTAGACGCGAAGACGAAGCGGAACTCTGCCTTGGCGATAATTTGGCCGTTGATTGTCTGCGGATTCAGCTCTAAACTGTGCACGCTGCTCTCTGTACACCGCTCTACCTCGGGCATTCACTTGAGCGCGTTGCTCTTCGCTTTGATTTCTTCTCCTTATTGACATTCGATGTGAATCACGCGTATGCCTGCTAACCGTGATACGTCTGCGTAGTGGAGGCATTTTCTAAAGTATTCTTTTCGAATAAATGTAGCAAATCGATTGAATTAAATCTGGAAAAAACACACAATGTTGTTGTCAATGTTTTTTAATAATTGTAAACATTCGCCAGCTGTTTCTGTTTATTTATTAGTAAAAGGCAGGACTGCCAATCTTGCGGCAAAACAATAATAAAAATCCAAAAAAACACGCAAAGCCAAACAGAATTAATTGCAAAACGTGCAATGATACACACATTAAATTTCTTATGTGCACCCTCCACACAGACCCCAATCACTTCTGAAAATTTCATTTTATGTGCACCCTCCACACAGACCCCAATCACCCCTGAAAATTTCAT